AAAGGGACTCGGCTCTCCTTGCTCCCAGCAAAAGATGGGCGATGGACGCACGTCCCGAGGGAAACATTGATCCCAGCAGCCCTGCTGCCAGGCTGTTCCTCCCTGCAGCCCCACACGGGCTGCCCGCTGGGTGCTGGTGGTGTGGGTGAGTTACCAGCTCATCCTCAGGGATGGGCACAGGCTCCACCTTCCCCTGCTCGCACCCTGCACATCTGCAAGCGGAGCACCTCCAGTACCCAGCGCTGTGCCGGGCAGCACAGGAGGAGCCGGGGCAGGGATCACACATCTCCCTTCCCATGGGAAGCACCGGGATGGTCCCAGCCCCGCAGGAATCTCCATCAGGTCAGAGGCTGAAGTAGCTCTCTGGACATCCCGGGCAGTGTGTGTGCAATACCAGAGGCACAGGACGTGCTTGGTCTCTGCGAGACCCCTGCCCTGTACATCACCCGTGTGATTCAGCCTTGTCTGGAGGCACCTGAGCTGATCCCCAACCCTTTTATTAAGCATGTTCCTGGAAGGCGCCCAGCTAATCCCCGTTGGCAAGCTGACATTTGTAGTAAATCTCTGCTTTCTGTCAAACACGATTTTCTCAGTGACATTTATGTCTGATGACTTCAGATCGCTCGGCCTCCAGTTCTGCTCAGCCCAAGCACCCACAGAGCTGGGAGAGGTGCACGGGGAGCTCCCACTTGGGGTTTTACAGGGAGCTTTAAAACTGTTACCGCTCTAAGCCCCTACTTGAAACATGCCCTCCTGCATCAGAGGAGATTCCCTTTGCGTCGGCAGCATTATCACACCAAGGGCTCCCAGCCTGAGCATCAAATCCCGTACCCCTCTGACCTCAGCGTGTGCCTGCCTGTGACAGTATTCAGAAGCCATCTCGGGAGCAATTAACTACTGCAGTGGATGGTGTAACATCACTTTGAACTCAGGGAGCAGCACTGGGTGCTGCCCTGGACCTCTCCTAAGTGCATCATAGGGGATTAGGAAAGCTGTGAGGAGGAGAACAGGGAAACGGTGCAGTTCCCTGGGGCAAGGGAAGTGGGGATACTGCAACCAAGTGAGCTGAGCACTGGCAGGGCAGAGACAGGCACTGAGGTCCTGGGCTACTCACAGCTGGATGTCCAGGAAGAGCCTCTTCTCCTCCCCAACATGGACCCTCCAGACGCAGTCCTCCCCCTCCGTGTAGGGCTCCGGCCAGTTTGGGGACAGGATCACACCGGCCACAGCGGTCAGTTCCCCCCCGCACGTGGCTGCATGAGCGAGAGGCAGGCAGGGCTCAGCAGGGTCCAGGGGATGCTTGTACCAGCAGCCAGCATCACCCCGTGGTGCCGGGACTGACCTCGGCACAGCGGCTCCGTGTCGTTCCAGTACGGATCCCGCATGTTGACGCACTCGATGACGGCGGGGCCCTGCTCCAGGGAGTGCCCGGGGTCACACGTGAACTCCACGGTGGTGCCCAGGTTGTAGGTGGGGTCCGAGGTGGTGAAGTTCCCGTTCTGGATGTAGGGTTCGTAGCAGTGGCCCCGCTCAAAGGCTGGAAGAGAAGATCCCCTGTGAGCCGTAGGGGTATGGAGCTGGCTGGGGGAGCGCTGCCTTCCCCTGCCCCTCACAGCCTCAGCTCTGGGGTTTGCTCAATGAGCCCTGGGCTCATCCCCAGCTACAAACCCTTCATCCTGCCGTGCACAGATGGCCTTTTCCATGGTGAATGTTACAGGCAATTAGGATTAAGAACAGCTTATCTGTCCTGAGCCACACGAGCTTAACCAAACCCCACTTCCACCATGTACCAGCACCAGTAACGCACTCGCTGTGTCACCAGTTGCTGTGTTTGCTGAGCTGGGATTACTGTGGGTACCAGAATGGGAGCTCATCACCTTCGAAGCGTATGTTGAAAGCTGTGGCGGCCGCGGGCTCCTCGGCGAGGAAGTCGATCCTGATGGAGGAGCCGTCGCTGATCACCCCCTCGAAGGGCACGCTGTCGGCACGCAGCGAGTCGTAGAGGACCGCGGACTGGTTCGTGTCCCCGCTGTACACAACCATCCTGCACGGGAGGACACGGCGCATTACATGGCAGAAGCGGCCCCTCCTCGCCAGCTCCAGTGCTCCCGGAGCACGGCATTGTAAAGGAATCATGCAAACAGAAGATCACCAACCAGATAAGTCTCTTTTACTGTGTCATAAACAGGGGCTTTATTCTTTCATTTTACTACAAGCCATAAACCTGCTTTATTGCCTGTTACCAGACTGAATGCTAATGCTCTTTAAACACAAGGATCAGCACCAAAAGCGTGTCCTTTGTGTTACAGGTGCTGGTAGCGTGGAACTCGCAGCTTCTTGTGCCGTAGTGCTGAGCACTGGGTGTTTGGGGGAAGGAAAGGAGCAGTGTGATGCAGCACAGAGCACACTGCAACACCCCGCAGCCAGCAGGATCAGACCTGCAACATCCCCTGGCACGAAGCGCAGGGCCTGGGGACAGCAGCGCTGGGGCTCTGAGCCTGCATCTTGCAGCTCTTTCTGCTCATATCAGGAGACCTGTTGTGTCTCCCCAGTGCACGAATACATAAATCATGAACCTCCCTTTCTGCACTGGGACACTTCTCTGCCCCATCCCCACCATCCTCCGGCTGACAGCCTCCCTCGTGCTGCACCCTGAGCTTGGGTCAGTGCTGCCGACAGCATCCCAGGTCTCATCCTGCAGCCCAGGCGCCAGGAGGGCAGGAGATGTGATGTGGGGGTGCTGAGGCCCGTTTGGAGCTTCCAAGCTTTGGTATATTCAGCTCCCAGAGAAGCTCCCTGTTCCTCACCCCAGGCAGAGCAATGCTCCTGCATTCCCATGGGAAACGTGCTCATCACAAACCCGGCACTGGGCACCCGAGCAGCTCCGGAGCTTTACCTGTCCCTCTCAGTCAGCAGGAGCTTCTCGAAGTGGAGGTGCAGCTTCTGCCCCGGGGGGGCCCCGATGGCCCACACGCAGTACATGCTGCTGGACTGGTTCCCGGTGTAGCTGGGCGAGAGGACGCGGCCGATGGTGGCGTTTCGGACCGTCCCACCGCAGGGCGCTGCCAACACAGAGCACGGCTGAGATACACAGAGCGAAGGGCATGGGTGGGCTCCTGCACCCGAGGCTTCTGCACAGCAAAGGGAATGAGCCCCTCCACTGCTGCCTGCCCAGCCTTGATCAGCAGTCTTAAATCACAGCATGGTTTGGGTTGGGAGGGACCTTAAAGCTCCTCCAGCTCCAACCCCTGCCCCGGGCAGGGACACCTTCCACTAGAGCAGGTTGCTCCAAGCCCCTGTGTCCAACCTGGCCTTGAACACTGCCAGGGATGGGGCAGAGAGGTTAATGCATGAACCTCCTGCCTGGCTTGGCTTTGGTTTACGTATACACATGTGTGCTCACACACACATCAAATCTATGATTTCTTGTCTTGTACCTGCCTAATGAGGAGGCAGATTCTGCTGCCACTGAAGTGAAAACTTGCAGCACCTTGGCCTGGGCATTGCTTTCACTCTTTTCAGGACTGCATTCAACTCATGGCACGAAGCAAACAACCCTCTTTTATTCCTTTGGGGATCGCAGTTCTTCCCAGCACTGAGGCTGATGAGGCACATACCTGAGCAGATTGGCTCTGGGCTGCTCCAGTGCGGCCTCGACGCGTTGACGCACGTCAGCACGCTGGGACCCTGCAGCTCGTAGCCCAGGTGACAGTGAAAATGAGCAACTCCCCCCGAGTGCAAATCCATCACGGTGACGTCTCCGAAGTCGGGCCTCCGTGGGAAGTTGCAGCTCAGCATAAACACTGCAACAAGCACACACATTGTGGAGCTTGGGGCTGTCGCAGTCAGAGGTGGGGACAGTGACAGCCCTCACTGCGGGTGCCGGCTGCAGAGCACCCGCAAATGGCCATGCTGCTGCTTCTCAACCTGTTACTGCTTCTGCCCAGACCCAGTTTCTATTTTAGAGGGAATTTGCTTGAACTCATCTATCTTTTATAGCTCTTTAAGGGAAAAAATAGACTCGGAGGCTGAGTTGTGCAGGAGGAGCTGCTGCACGGGGGCAGAAACGGGGCAGGGAGGGTGTGAGGAGCTCAGCCAGCACCGGGGTCTGGGACATCGGTGCATGTTGTACCCTCTGCTCTGGGCATAACATGGGTTGTTCCACCCGCCCCAGTGATGCTCTGAGCACAGGCACACAGTGATGCAGGAGCCCAGCATCCTGCCACCCTGCAGCCCAGTGGGGTGAGCCCCACGGCACCAACACCCCATCCCACCCCTCCTCACGCACCCCTGTCTCAGAGGCACCCACCCTGGTAGTGGAGCTGGAAGGTCCCCACCACCTCGTCCTGGAAGGTGCGGAAGTAGACGGAGATGGTGTTGGTGGGGCTGCGGATCACCTGGCCCTCCACCAGCAGTGTCTGGTTGGCCAGGACCACGAGGGCATCACCGTCCACGCCGCGGATGGAGAGCACCTCCCCGTCCGACAGGTTCACACTCTTCACCTGGGTGGGAGCAGAGACCCGTGAGCTGCAGGGTGAAGGTGGGGATCCCATCCCAGCCCTGAACACACACACAGCACAAGGGTTGTCACGGACAGGAGCTGCTTGTTCAGTGGTGATGGAGCTGTCCATGCCCAGCATGAGCCCAGGGACTCCCGTAACCACTGACCCACTCCCTTGCTACAGCAGGCACAGGGAGTTGGAGCTGCACACTTGAGGTGCATTTTGAAGCTGGATGGATGTTCCTGTGCAGTACAAGGTGACCCATATCTGCTTCCCTGCTGAAACTGGGGATTTGGACAGTCAGGGAGGAATAGACAGGAGGAACATGAAAGGGAACCATGAGTCAGGGCAGGTGGGGCCCCAATTCCACCTTCATCCACCCTGGAAGCAGCCCTACACCTTGAAGTACCGTGGCACGGAGCATGGAGCAGGCTTGCTGGTCCCAGCAGAGCAGGTCTGCAACCAAACCAGGGTACATTCGTATGTAGGGCTTGGTGCTCACCAGGGATCCCCCCCAGGATCCCTCCTACACACCGGGGAGTCACATGGCAAATACGCCTAATGAGTGGTCCCAAAAGGCTTTAATTATTGTTTGGAAATAGTTGACAAGTAACCTCACATTTGCGGTTTACGTCCATTTAGCTAAATAAATGGGCTCAAATTTCAGCAGAAAGATGCTCATCAGATCATTTGTTTCCTTAAGTGTGCAAGGACCAGGGCTCTATATTTAGCTCACACCAGAGCCTTAGCCTGTGGCTGTGAGCACTCCCCATCATGTTGTGACTAGAAGGATTTGCTGCTGTTGTCACAACTCTGCCCATACCCAGTGCATGAGCTGGGGATGTGCCTGGCTGCAAGGGCCACTACGCCACCAGCAGCACTTGGCATCCTCTGACCTTCTGCTGGAGTAAGGGAGATTTCCACTGGAGAAACAACCTTAAGCTCATTGAGTAACTCCCTGCCTGCCCCAGAGGTCCACAAGCCCTGGAAAAGCTTAGTCTGGGTCAGAGCCTGTCTAGGCTCAACCCAGACCATCCTTTTAACCCCGGAGAAACAGATTTTGCCTTGTTTTGCGTCAGGATGCTGGGGCACTGCAGGGTCTTTGGTCTTTGCTGCAGGGCAGAGCAGACCTCAGTCCTCATGGGCACTGTGCATTGGAAACATAAGCCAAGTGCATGTCCCAAACCCTGACCTGCCCCACTGGGTTCTTTCTTCTACAGATTTTGTCCTGAAAATATGCCACCCCTGCACAGCGTGCACACATTGAGCCTGGTGCGATGGCTCGGGTCTAATTATTAATAAATGGAATGAATCAAATGTTATTAGGGATGAATTATTTGGAGCATGGGATACAGGGATGCTAAAGTGAACGGCTCCCACTGGGGCAGAGTTTTGTTTCCTGAGCTGGGTCTGAATCACTGCAAAGACATTTCCAGGGTGTTTCTAACACACATTTCATTCTGCAATCACTCAAAGACAAGCCTGGCCCCTACTAGCTTCCTCTGATCGCTACCATCACACACACTATGCAGCACTGAATCACTCTGGGAAATCGGAAAGAGAAACATTCAGGAGAGCTGCTCAGTGCCACCAAGCTGCCTTTCCCCCTCCCCAAGCCATGCTGCTGGGAAGGGGGCTCAAGGAGCAGCTCCATCCTGCAGAGCCCTGCAGAGGAGATGGAGCTGGTGAATGCTGCGGCATCTCCCAGCCCTTTCCAGGGTGCCGTGTGCTGGGGATATGGCTCAGCTGCACCATTCAGCCTCCCCCTCCTGCAAGGCCAGGCTCGGAGGAGCCTGGAGCAGGGGTGTCACTGCACAGCTCCAGCGCCAGGTAGGCAGGATCCTCTGAGGACCGGGAGCGACCAGCGGGTAGAGCCGATGCAGTGGCCTCGTGCCAGGGACAGGCAGCGCTGCGAGAGGGACCATATGTGTGAGCTCCTGCCAGGGGCTGGGCAGGACGAGTTCTTGCTTTAATTGAAGCCTGCACCAATGTCAGCTCCTAAAGAGCCTGTTGGGAAGACAGGAGGGATCCTTCGCTCCGGCTGCCAGCCCTGCTCACCCACTAGACAAATCTCCTGAGAGAAACTCTATTTCCTGCCAAGAAGATTCAAGGGGTTTAACCACAAATACAGTTTAACGGAGCACTGATGGGGCTGTGGCACTGCACCCGCCTGGCGCGGGGACCTGCTCTGGCCAGGATGCTGCCAGCAGCGAGCCGAGCAGGGACCCTGAGCACCACACAGCACCACACAGCTCCTTTTGCTGTGCTACCCCCTTTTCCCCAGCCCTGAGTGAGGGGCTGGATGCTGCAAGGAGCTGGGATGCTGCTGAGGGCTGGTGGCCTTTGGGGCTTGCTCACAGCCCCTGTCCCCACCACCACCAGTGGCAGCTTGGGCAGGGGCACCTCCAGGTTCAGCTCCCTTGTTTGCTGGTCTTTCATGCTCTTCTTGCAGGCCTGTGGGAGCAGCTGGGTACGGGTCCTTACAGCAAAGCCTGCTTGAGAGAGTGAGAAAAGCCCCAGAGCTTTGTGCACCAGCCCCACTGGTCAGGGGTGATGTCCAGAGTGGACTTGCATGCAAACATGGACAGAGTTCCTGCACCACACTGCCTGCCTCCTTCATCAGCATATATCCCATGTGGACATCCTCTGCGTGAACTAGAGAGAGGGGATAAATCTGTGCTGTGCTTGCCATGAGCGCTATTCCCAGCTTCCTTGGGACATAAATCATGTCACTGCTGCTGTCTAAATGGTTAAAAGCCTTCTGCAGAGCTCGCTGCCTGCAGCGAGGGTCAGGCACTGCTGATGCAGTCACACAGGAGAATATCGGTGCCCATCCACGGGCCAGGCAGCCCCCTGCCCTCTGCTGAGCTGCTGCCCACCCCGGGCAGGATGCAGGCATCCGGGGTGCTCCGCATCCTCCTCCAGCTCCCACAGCGCCCATCCAGGACAAGCTGCTCGGTGGGTGCTCAGCAGCTCTGGGTGAAGCCGTGCTCAGCCAGCACAGCCCCGCTGCTGTGATTTAATTTGTCTGGAATGCTTAGAAGCATCAGCAAAGTGAGATGCAAAGCTTGGGGGAGTGGAGGGGCTAATTTTATGCTCCATTAAAATCTCAGCTTACAACAGAGTGAGGTCAGCAGCGGTGTCACCTGATGGATTATGGACGGAGGCGAATTTACAGCAGAGCAGCCTGTCCTCAGAGCCCTGCGGGGCTGGGAGACAAGTTAATGCTGTGGAAAGGAGCCCAGCACTGCCCAATCCCATTGGGACGTCAGCCTCCCACCAGGGCTCGATTCCACACTGCAGCCGTGCCGGAGGTCAGCCCCTGATTTTGCCCACCAGGGGATGGCAGGAACAAGCTCACTGGAGCTACTACTCCTTTTAATACACATTCTTAATTACACAGATTAAAAGTTAATGGATTTTAATTGGATGCAAATGGTGACATGGGGAAAGTGCAAGAAGAAGAAAGGATTGTGCACCAGAGCATGGAGACCGGGGGCTGGTTTGACGTGGAGACCATGTGAAAGGCATCAGGGCCCCTGCTCTGCTCGGAGCCCCACCAGGCTGTGGGATGCAGCATTTTGGGGATCACTGAGCCAGGGTCAGAGTTCCTGGCTCTGACTCGGGGCACGGAATAGCAGCCCTGGCACATGGTTGTGCTGCCTGTGCCCACTGCTCCATGCTCCCATGTGTGCAGCTCACAGCATTCACAGACACCTTCCTGCAGAAACTCAGCCCTGGCTCTCTGCTGCAGCTGCATGCTTGCTGCTGCGGGGTTTGCTGCAGAATGCCTGCAGAATGCCTCGGCTGTGTGGTCTTTATCCTGCAATTGGCAGGGATGTGGCCCTGCTATGGTGTGGGTTGGTGGCTGTGCTGGAGGCAGCGCTGTTGCTTCACCCCTTCCCATGAAAGCTCTTTGTAAATTGCTTCCTGTGCTCCTTGTTCAATTAATCACATGGCATGTTAGTGCTTTGATCCTCGCTGATGTTCAGGATGTACCAATTCCCGCTTTATTACACTAAGAAAAACCTATTTTCCTCCTTGGGAAGGGGTAATTTTAGCCCATGCCCGGGCAGCAGTGCCCACGGCCGTGGTGCTGCGCATCGTGCGCTGCTG